ACTTGGAACAGCTTATATCCTGCGACAATACCTTTAACACCATCAAACAACAACATCTGCCTATCCCAGGTCCTTGGGAAGAACTTGATAGGTGGATAAAAATGCCAAATCCAGTCTAAACATCTGACTGACTGTGCAACCAACAATAACGCAAGAGCTTTTCTGGATTAGGCGAAGGAGCCCATCTAGTTTAGCATTCTGTGTCATACACTGGCCAACTGGATGTGTTGTTTTTGAACATGGGCAACAGGGGTATCTGAGGTATTGTGAGGTGGCCACTGGTGTACAAGTGAATGGGCTGTTTTTTTTTAATTTGCACAGTTATCTCTTCTGTGGTCTGCAACCTCCCTGGGTTCCTACAGTTCCATTCAATCCTGCAGGAAGACCTCATGGGGTGGCTCTTTCTGCTTCCCAATTTGAAACAGCCAGGGAGATTAAAGATCAATAGAAAGTTATGTAATTGTAGTAGTCGTATTACTAATACTATAAAAAGAGCAGCAGCAACATCCTTTACTACCAGCAACAATCAAGTACGTTCAAAAATCCCATCAGGAAATTAAAATGAAATACTCAAAGCACCCTGAGAATATTATAATAAAATGGAAGCCTCAGGGACACAGAAATTGCAAACACATTTTAGACATAGCATTAGTTCATACTTAATGTGTAATCAGAACTGTAAAAAGAGACTCCCCAACCAATTTTTTTTTTTTAATGAGAAATATACTCCTGGACTATTTAGTATGGCTGAACTGGGAAATTCTCCCTTATTCAACACGTATGTGTTGACTTGCAAAGCTTGTAGAATTTCATCTAAATGTCATTGCAGTATTGATATTGGGAAGAGACACAGTGAATAAATATAGCGAACGAGCATAGCATGAAGGCTACGTAAGAGTCGCCTCCTTTCTTTTGTTTATGGGGGGAGTCTGTGGGAGTTGGGCGGCCAATTAATTTCAATAAATAAATTTTAAAAATTAAAAAATTAAATAACATTGAGACTGACTTTACATAAAAGTCAGGTTTAAGCACCAAATATTCTTCAAAACTGTGGCTATGATTTATTTCAACAGGGTACCCCTGGACCTGCAGGACCCCCTGGACCACGCGGTTTGCCTGGAAATGTGGTGCGTAAACAATGTCAAGGAAACAGCTACTTAGGTGACAGAAGAGTAGCTCTGAATGTGATCACCAGCTGAATAACCACTGGCTTTCCTGATGGCTCAGGTTCATCACATTTGAAGGGGGTGTAATTTTACCCCCATCCACTGCACCCATAACTTGCACGACTTCTCCCTTGAGACCTGCTGTTTCTGCCTTATTAGTTAAATACAGGAGCAAGGGTGCATTGTACTGGCATTTGGGAACTATTGCATCTGAAAATGTGCCAACAAGCTGGGAATCTATCAGTAGGCTTTGATGAAAATGGCCAGATATTTGGAGAAACTCCATTAGCTTTATTAGACTTCATAGAATCATAAAAATCTAGGATTCAAAGGGGCCACTGAGGCCACTGAATCCAATCCTGTACTCCAGTGTTTCTCAACCTTGGCCAGTTGAAGATGTGTGGATTTCAACTCCCAGAATTCCCCAGCCAGGATGGCTGGGTGGGAAATTCTGGGAGTTGAAGTCCACACATCTTCAACTGGCCAAGGTTGAGAAACACTGTTCTACTCATTGCTGAAATGCCAGTACAAGGATCCTGGATAGGTAGCTGTCTAGATTTTTGCTTCAACTCATCTAAGGAAGGGGTGCCCAACACCTTTCTTGTGGTCTGTTGAACTGTTCTTAGGGTTCAGAAGTTTTTCCTAACACACAGTTGGAATCTACCTTCTCTAACATAACTGCAAGGAACATGTTTCCTCAAGGTGCTCTGAGATATTTCTCTTGCTGTTTCAACTTGGTGCCATTTCATGGGAACAAGTCATCTTTCCAAAAAAAGAACAGGAACTTTCTGTACAAAATGATCCTTGCTGTTTCTTATCTCTTTTCTCTCTGCTTCCAAAGAGAGATGGGCTTTTGTTTCACTCTTTTTGAAGGAGGGTCAGATTCTCTGAAAATGAATTGAGCTCCATTGTAAACATAAAAGACACAAAGCTATATTTTACTTCAACATGCAGCTGCAAGGCTGTTTCTAATTGCTCTTGGATGAAAAAGGGCTGCCTTTGTTCTACAATATAGCTTACAAATATTTATTATAAACAGTTTTGCGATATTGTTAATGGGAAGTGATACACAAGTGTTATAAAGAAATACACGTGGAATATTTAATAACATTTCCATGATATAATATTCACGAAAGTTAAAATGATGATGCCAACAATTTCCATGTTTGCCTTCCAGTGAAAAACATGAAGCTTCTGAAATACTCTGATATCTCAGGAGCATTATCATCTCAGGAGAAAAATAAGCATGAAACTCGTTTCATGTGTATGGTTGCAAATAATCTGTTTAACCCTTCACTTGCCTAAATCAAGCCCATACAATTCACAATCCCCCTGTTCCAAAGCAAAGTTGGAATTGTTGCATATATTTTTTCTTTACAGGGTATACCAGGAGGCCCTGGTCAGCCAGGAAGTGATGGACCAAAAGGAGAACAGGTGAAAAGCTGGATCCACAGCTAAGGTGTAATGACTATTAGCAGGAGGGAAAGGGTGAGGGGTAAATGTTGAAACAATTATAACATCATCAAATGCCATGTCTTATGTACTTGCATCAAACATTGTGATGTTAGTACATAACAGTAGCAGTTGCGTGATGCAATTACCATGTTTGTGTTATCATTTGGGCATCACCGGGGCTTGCTGAAGATACTGCTTAAATAATATGTAATCCGTGTTATGCATTATTTGAAGGATTTACCTGTACACGCTTGTATCTCTTCCACTTGATGTTGTGTGTGTCCAATACTCTCCTGTAGTAGGCTGAACAGCAGCAAGCGGGGTAGCAACTAGTATACTTCTAACAGTTTTATTAGCTGAGCCGTAGCAGATAATGTTAGAGCTGTGGGCTGTAAATTAGGCAGAGAAAGCTCCATAGAGAAGATACCCCGTCTTGTAGTTTGTAGCTGTGGTTTAAACACAGCCGAGAAGAGAAAGTCTGTTGCAGTCTGATCGTATGGGGCAGTGTTTCTCAACCTTGGCAACTTTAAGATGGGTGGACTTCATTGCTGGCTGGGGAATTCTGGGAGTTGAAGTCCACCCATCTTAAAGTTGCCAAGGTTGAGAAACACTGGTCTCAGGCCAAAGAAGTCACAATATCCAGTCCAGGGATTATAAACCAAACAACTACTTATAGGACAAGGAATCAGGAGAAACCAAGAATGTGAAGCCAGAGGAATGCAGGTCTGGTAGTAGAAAGCTGTTTCCAAAAGAGGAAGGGACTTGATGGAGTTTGAGCCCTTGCCTAATTAGAGGATTTAATCCTCCTCCTTTCAAGGAGGTATGCCAATATTAGCCTGCTTAGCCCTCCTTAACTAGCAATGTGTTTTAGGGTCTGCATGCTCCAGAGTTGAAGATTCAACTCCTTATTCTCCAAATTGGTATTCATTTGCATTGGGTCTGAGTTGTCATTCCCAGGTGGCTGATGCATATTTGCTGCCTGAAAATCTGCCTCTTCAACCTCAGAATCAGAGAAATCCATGATACGTACTTACTCTTGCTAGCCTCTACATGGGCAGCCAAGTGCCTGCAATGAAGGGGGCTTAGGATTTCGATTTACAAGTCCTGAAATCATGTGCTGTTACGATACTGGTTCCACTAAGCCATGGGCTTCTGCAGGGATGATAAGGGAAGGCAAATGAGGACACGTGTCTGATGATCTCATCATGCAAATGGCACGACCTGCATATTTAGAGTCATGAACTCATTATATATTTGTGCCGTTTGGAATGACATCATCACACAAATGTGTGTGTGTTTGAGGTCATCATGGCTTGTTAAGAATGATCACTGTTCTTGGCCAATGTTTCCTGCATCACTCCTGTGTCATTACCTTCAAAGCCATGTAGATGGTAGTGAAAAGTTAGGGCATATCCAAATCTTCCAGGTCAGTTTGGGGATTTAGCACCAATGAGGCATTTCAGACCTGGGGAAAGAAAGGGAGATTATAGTAGAGCACAAAATAAAGACCACTTGCCAAAGACCACTTAAGGATGTGTTCCCCAAGTGGCCTACACCCTCTCCTTGAACATGAAGAAAATGACAAAGAGCTCCTCATTCGTGGTCATTTTAGTGTCTATTTCCTTGTCATGCAGGTAGGGTGGATAAAGGATGGATAAAGAGAAGGAATTCCATCCTTGAAGGAAAGCTGGTACAAAGAGGCTATTAAAAATGCATGTGATGTAAAGAAGTGTTTGCAATCCAAATACTAAAGTGCTTAGATTGGTTTCCACAAGGTCTTTAGGAGAAAGTTCTAGATTTTTTCCTTGGGTTCTCTATATAGGAGGAGCAGGTGGTGTGCAATCCACAGTCACTGCCAGTCTGAGTGAAAACTGCAGAAGTTGATTAATAAAATTGGTAACAGGCACTGCCTGTCTCGTAGCCTCTCCTAATCATCACCTAGTCCCACTGTCCTTTCTGCAGGGAGATCCTGGCAAGGAAGGAAAAGCAGGTCCACCTGGACCTCCAGGTGAACGAGGAGCTCTTGGAGAACCTGGATTACCTGGAAAGGGTCGAGATGGAGAAAGGGTAAATCCAATTCCTAAACTATTTATGTAAGCAGATACTTGCCATAGTTGGAATGATCTGATCAACCCAGTTTACTTTTTGTTTTGTGAGTTGTAATTGTATTCTACAGTATTCTCTACTTTGTCATTGGTTTACCTGAATCAGTTTTTTGTTTTTTTAATGTAATAGCTGCATTTTCAGCTGGCATCTCTTCTCCTATGAACTGTTTAGGAACATGCCAGGAACATACTATGAGGAAAAAGCATATTAAAGGACTATGTCAGAAATGTTGCTACTATTATTTATTTGTGTCAAGTTTTCATTTGATTGGATCACCTATATCCTTCTTCATCCTTTAATTTGATTAGATCACATATATCCTTCTGCATCGGGAAGACAATACAGTATGTTGAACAAATGGTGAAATTACCCATGAAAGCCCAAAAGCTTGGGTGCTCAGGGGTACTCTGCAAACACAATTAGGCAATCTTCTTTGTAATCCAACAACTGTGTTTGCCGGTGATTTAGTGACTGACTTAGCTGATTTTCTGGGTTCATGGAGTACACTGAATCATCAACTAATCCAATAGGTTGGGTTTGTACAAGTTATTAAGCCATACCTACACATACACATACACAAACTTAAGTAAAGTTAAAATTAACCAAGCGTGATATGTGCAAACAGAATCTATGTGTAAATTTGGAGGAAGAGAATTTCTTAAGCACCCCATACAATAGACTCTAAAAGCAAGGTAACTATTGGAAGATTGCAGATTACATATTAACTAGGCTTTTATGAAGCAAACAAAACTACCAGGGGAAGCCTAAAGGAATTTGAGGGAGTGGCACGTAGGAAGGGAAAGTACCTTTGATATGTCCTCCTTCCAAAAGAGGCCATGTAATTACTTCCTTAAACTTAAAACATTCATGAACATTCCAGAAAGGGGCTCTATTATGCAGGTAAAATAATTTCCTCGATTCAAAGCTGAATTCCTCCTAATTAGGTTTCTTAAGAATACAGGTAGTCCCTAGTTTAAGAACGAGTTTTGTTCGCAAGGTCTGTCCTTAAGTCGAACTTCATGGCTTAGTTGACAGAACACAACATGTTGGTTGGCTGACGTGGTTTGAGTAGTTTGTGCATCTGCGTGGCATCGTCTTTGTCTGTTATATGAATTGGACTATCAAGTCAAGCAATCAAAGTACGCATTTCTTTGGGAATACCATGTATTCTGTACATAGTAATATAGTACACCTCAATATAATGGACCATTTGGGGGTGCTATATATTACTTCCGAATGTCTGTTAAATTCGAAAGTACTGTATGTTGACTGCATTAATTTATGTAATTTCTCTAATGACATACATATAACGAAATTTAATGTAAATATAAGTGCCCTATCCAGACTATTTTGAATAAACTTGTCCATTATTTCAGGGGAGAATGTCCAAACAGAAGTGTTCTCCATTGCAGCCAAATTCTGTTGAATTGAGAGTTTCTTTGCAATATATTACCCCAGGTTTAGGAGTTATGATTTGCCCTTTGTAAATGGGTTCGCCACATCTCTGTTCTTGAGGATGAGCAGACCCACAGCTGGAATTCATGTTCTTTTTCAGAGGTCTAATAAATGGATGTATGGAGCCTGGTTTTCCAGTCGGGAAGATCATGTTGATATCTTTTACATTTGTGTACTTTTCTAGGGTGAAAGAGGTCCACCAGGTTTACCTGGACCCTTTGGGCATAAGGTAAGCATCTGCTTGGCCATTCTATTATACACTAAGGACTGATCTGCATTTCCTGCTTGGAGAGGAACAAGACTGGCCACAGATTATTTCAGGAGGACAGGAATGGAGGATGTCATCGGTTTGCCCCTACATTGCTCAGACATGATCTCTGCATCACATGTAGTGCTTTCCCACCTCTGCTGCTGCGAACAATGCTGTTCAGTCCATCTCTGGTCACTGCTGGGCTTCTGGCCATGAAAAGTTGGACATTACGCCTGCCTGCCTGCCTGCCTGCCTGCCTGCCTGCCTGCCTGCCTTCCTTCCTTCCTTCCT